ATGGTTACCTACGCCGCCATCTTGACCGGAAGTCTTCCTTTACTATTGTTCTCTCTCTCTCTTTTTTTTTAACCTCACTAGAGAACATTTTCCCATATTTTTTGTTCAGATAGAGTGGGAGGGAGGGAGAGAGAGGGAGGGAGAGAGAGAGAGAGAGAGAGAGAGAGAGAGAGAGAGAGAGAGAAACATCAACATGAAAGGGACACATCGAGTGGCTGCCACCCGCACGACCAACCAGGGCCAGGGACAAACTGCAACCGAGGTACATGCCCTTAGCGGGAACCGAACCCGGGTCTCTCTGGACCCCAGGCTGACGCTCAAACCGCTGAGCCAAACCGGCCAGGGCTCGTTCTTTATAATAGGCTAACTTGGTTCTGATATTTAAAAAATGACAATTCCTCTTTAAAAAACAAAAAGGCTGCCGTGACCTATTCACTCTCCACTTCCCATCTCAGAATCTAAACGTGGGCATGTTCAGGTAGAGAGTCCTGGCCACAGCCCGCCCACCTCAGGCAGCGCCACCTGCAGTTGATGCCACCCAACCAACCTGTATCATGAATTTGGAAAAAGAACCAAAACTTCCAAGGCCATGTTTTATCTTTTCTTCAAAGTACTTTAAAAAGGAAAATTTGTGAGGACTACCGGTCAAGATGGCGGTGTAGGTAAATGCGGTATCGCATCCTCCCACAACCACATCAAAGTTACAACTAAACTACAGAACAACCATCATTCAGAACCGCCTAAAATCAAGCTGGATGGAAGTCCTACAACTACGGAATTAAAGCAGCAGCCACATCCAGACTGGTAGGAGGGGCGGAGGCACTACAGGCTGGTCCCACACCCATGTGTGGCAGATAAAAATCAGGAGGACACCTCGGCTGGGAAGGTCCTCCCTGAGGACTGAGGGGTCCCCGTCCCACACCAGGTGTCCTGCTCAGGGTTCCAGTGCCAGGAAGAGAATCCCCATAACTTCTGTCTGGAAAAGCAGTGGGAACTGAGGCTCAGGGAGGCTGAGGTGGCTGGAGTCCCAGGCAGCTCCTCTTAAAGGGACCGGGCACGGACTTAGTGGACTCATTCCCGCTAAGCTTGGAGGGGAGGCAGCTCAAGTGGCACCAGAGTCATACAGGGAAAAACTGAGCTGTTTGGCACTGGAGCGAGGGCTGGAGAGGGGGCTTTCTCTTGGACAGATGTGCTGTCAGAGGCCTTTGTTACTTTGGTGAGACCTTCCCTGGGGTGGCAGACAGCTGTCATATCTGGGACTCCAGCAACCTGGCTCACACTGGTTGCCCCACCGTGGTGATTCCCTGAGGCCCCGCCCCACCCAGCTTTCAGGCCCACCCAAGCTGTTGCCAGTTGGTTAACTATAGGATTGGCCTGTCTTGGATCCTGCTTCAGGTTTTTCCTAAATTCTTTCAAACGAGCAGTATCTGGTCTCAGCGAGCATATCTCTCGTTAAGTAATACACAGAAACAAACACAGGGAGGTGGCCAAAATGAAGAGACAAAGAAATAGGTCCCAAATGAAAGAACAGAACAAAACTCCAGGAAAAGAACTAAGTGAAATGGAGATAAGCAACCTAACAGATGCTGAGTTCAAAACACTGTTTATAAGGATGCTCGATGGACTTAGTGAGAAACTCAGCGAACTTAGTGAGGGCCGCAAGAGCATAAAATCGGACCAGTCAGAAATGAAGGAGGCACTAACTGAAATAAAGAATAATTGACACAGATTCAATAGTAGAGTAGGTAAAGCCAAGAAGCAAACCATCAATTTGGAATATAAGGAAGCAAAAAACACCCAATCAGAACAGCAGAAAGAAAAAAGAATCCTCCAAAATGAGGATAGTGTAAGGTGCCTCTGGGATAACTTCAAGTGTGCCAACATTTGCACCATGGGGATGCCAGAAGGAGAAGAGAGAGAACAAGAAATCGAAAACCTATTTGAAACAATAATGGCAGAAAAATTCCCTAACTTGGTGAAGGAAACAGACATACAAGTTCAGGAAGCACAGAGAGTCCAAAACAAGATGAAATCCAAGAGGCTCACACCAAGACACATCATCATCAAAATGCAAAAGGTTCAAGACAAAGAGAGAATCTTACAAGTAGCAAGAGAAAAGCAGTTAGTAACCTACAAGGGAATTCCCATAAGACTGTCAGCTGATTTTTCAAAAGAAACTTTGTAGGCCAGAAGGCAGTGGCAAGAAATATTCAGAGTGATGAAAAGCAAGAACCTACAACCAAGATTACTCCATCCTGCAAAGCTGTCATTTAGAATCGATGGCCATATAAAGAGTTTCCCAGACAAGAAAAGGCTAAAGGAGTTCACCACCAAACCATTATTACATGAAATGTTGAAGGGTCTTCTTGAAGAAAAAGATAAAAAATATGAACAAACAAAATGACAATGAATATATATCTATCGACAATTGAATCTACAAACAAAATGAACAAGCAGAATAGAAACATTCTCATAGATACGGAGAACATTTTATTATTTGCCAGATGGGAGGGGGTTTGGGGGAATGGGTGAAAAGGTGAAGGGATTAAGAAGTACAAATTGGTTGTTAGACTGACAAACCTCAAAGAGTAGGGGGATTGGAGGGTGGAAATAAAGAAACCAAAGAACTTATATGCATATATGCATAACCAAAGGACACAGACAGTGTGGGAAAAGGCAGGAGGGGGATGGGAGTGGGGAGGAGGTGGTCAGTGGGGGAAAAATGAGGAACATCTGTAATACATTCAACAATAAAGATAAAAAAATAAAAATAAAAAATAAAAATAAAAAAGTAAAAGGAGAAGGAGCCCAGTTTAGTCATTATTTATAGTGAAGCAGGTTTGTGCTGAGAGGCATCACTTGTGTGTGTGCTCATTCAGTGAAGGGTAGTGGTTACATCAGGGGTTCTGAAGTCACATTGCCCAGTTTTGTTGCAGGTGGGTGGGAACAGCTCCAAGTGTTAGAATGGTAGGGACCTGGGTTCAGCAACCTCGGTACTTGAGTTCTGTCTAGGAAAGAATTTTGAGCTCAGACTTAAACTATAGAGGACATTTACTTGGAAAATCACAGAGGTAGAAGAAGTAATTTGTAGAAGAAGTAGGCTTAGGAAACAAGTTATAGCGGTAAAGGAACGACCCTTGGAGCTTTGAAGTGAGGAAGGTCAAGGTGATATGCCTGGGGGATGAGGAGAGGGAGAGGGAGGGGCAAGGCACAGGCATGCTCCCAGGAGGGAGAGCATGCTGGGTCCTCCATCCTAAGGGATATAAGGGTGGACATTTTAGGGGAAGTTGCAGGGAATGATCTTAATAGAATATTCATCAGCTTTCCAGGTATGTCCTTTCAGGGCCAGGGGCTCCACTGATTGATTGGTCAGCACCGGGGCAGGGGTCATTATTCTTGTCTGGTTTTGCTGCCTTTCTGGGCCTGGAGCTGAAATACAACCGAGGCCTCGATGTTATCTCTAGGGAGGAATGGTCAGGGGGTCCAAACCACGTGACCAACAATATGCTAGGGGAAGGAAGGTCACCCTGGGGACGAGGTCCTACTCTACAGCAGTTCTATGCTAGGCACCCCTGGTGACCTTCTGAACCTGGCCCCTCGTCTTAGCTCTGCTCACATCTGTTCAACTGCCTACCACAGTTTCAAATCCATCTTTCACTTACTAGCTAAGTGAACCTTGGGCTAATTCTGTCTCATTTTTGAGCTTCAGGTTCTTTATTTGTTAATTTAGCATGGTCCCTATGTCACAAAGTTCCAATGAAGGTTAAATGAGATGATATATGTAAAGTACACAGCACAATGTCTGGCATATGGTAATTGCACAATACATATTAGCTGTTATTAATTTATTTATGGTAAACATGTAAGCCATTTTGATCAATTCTACATGTTGTGAAAAATGCAAAGATTGACTTACAACATGGTCCCAATCCTCAGGAGAAACAAATTAAAAAATGATGACAATGTGCCCTGGCTGGTTTGGTTCAGCGGTTAGAGAGTCGGCCTGCGGTCCAGAGAGACCCGGGTTCGGTTCCTGCTAAGGGCATGTACTTCGGTTGCAGTTTGTTCCCGGCCCTGGTTGGGTCATGCGGGTGGCAGCCACTCGATGTGTCCCTTTCATGTTGATGTTTCTCTCTCTCTCTCTTTCTCTCTCTCCCTACTGCTCTATCTGAATAAAAAAATGGAAAAATGTCCTCATGTGAGGATTAAAAAAAAATGATGACAATGTAAAGTAGAATGTTTTTGTATACAAAGGAGGAAAGGACAAGTAACATGCTAGGAAACCACAGGTGACGCAGAAATCACTTCTGCCAAGGAAGTTCCAAGAAAAATGATAAGGAAAGTCATTTCTTAACTGTGTGAAGAAGAAAAAGGAAGTAAATAGACTTCTCAGTAGAAGAGAGGAGGCCATACCCTGGCCAGTTTGGCTCAGTGATTAGAATGTCAGCTACAGACAGAAGGGTCACAAGTTCAATCCCCAGGCCCGGTGGAGGCAACCAACCGATGTGTATCTCTCACATTGATATTTCTCTCTTCCTTCCACTCTATCTAGAGAGAGAGAGAGAGAGAGAGAGAGAGAGAGAGAGAGAGAGAGAAGGACATTCTAGGAAGAAAGGGTGCTGTTGGCAAAAGCAAAGAGATGTGAAATGTGAGATGTTTGCGGATGAGTGGCCCATCCTGTTTGGGTTGGATTATGAACATAAAGATGATTCATGCTGTATGTGGCTGGAAATACAGATCAGGACCTGAACTAAATTTGGAAAGTAATGAGGAGCCATTGAAGGTATGAGGCTATGACAACTATTATAAAAATGGTATTTAAAGAATGTGTACAACATCCTTCCTGAGTTTGTTGATGAAATACTATAAATTTATAAACTATAATCAAGCCATTTTTGGTCAATTCATATATGTCATCATAGTACAGTCATATATGTACTATGCCTCTTTGTTTTCATTGATATGTGCTATTTTTTTACCCTTATTTTTTCCCTGTATAGGTGCGATCTCCATTCCTTTGTACATCCCTCAGCGTCTGTTCGATTGGATGCCTAAAGATCCAGTCTGTGCTTTTTGGCACATTACTGACTATCTTTTGTGTACAGCATCTGTGTATAACATCGTACTCATCAGCTATGATCGATACCAGTCAGTCTCGAATGCTGTGAGTCAAACCATTAATTGATCTTCCTTAGAAGAGTAGGTACTTGTAAATTTTGGGTCCCCAAGCAAAAAATTTTTAGGTCTAATTTTTTGTTGTTGTTTAATTAACAAACCTTAGAGGAACTTGATTATTCTTTTGTTATCTGGCACTAACTTCTCACTGGCCTGTAGTGAACATATTCTGCATGTTATTTGATTAAGTCAATGCCCTTCGTGCTACTAAAATGGAAAAGCATCAAAGAGAATCCAAGGCAATTTGTCAGAAGTGGTACTGAGTCCATAGTGAATTGGATATACATGAGGTTCACAATAGGTTTATCAGTTCCACTCCTTAGACAACTTGAGACCTGAATATTTTCCTCAGGGTAGAACTTGGTGGGCAAGTAGAAAAACTCCCAGACTTATAAATGTCACGAGAAAACCGATTTTGAATGGCAAAAGGAAAAGACAGTATACAAGGAAGGTACAGTTTATAAAGTGGGACCGACCAGCAAGGTCAATACTCAATGCCAGTTTAGGATACACGCCAAGAAAGCCTGAACTTACCCAAGATTTAGAATGGTCTCATAAACAAGTTAGCGATAAGTCTTAAGCAAGCTAAAAACAATTTCGGCAATAGAACAAAGGGAAGAACTTGTCCTTGATGCATTGAAGGAGTAAAGGGGGCCATAGAATAATGAGGCAGTGATCTGAAATCTTTGAAACCTGGATGGGAAACTTTCTTCACTCCTTAGTCCCAGGGACCAAATCTTTGGGAGACTACTGTGTGCCAGGGATTTTGCTAAGTGCTGGGATGAAGAAATGAATCAGCAGCCTGGTCTGTGTGGCTCAGTGGATTGAGCATCATCCCATGGACTGAGAGGTCCCCGCTTGATTCCTGGTCAGGGCACATGTCCAGATTTTGGCCTCGATCCCCAGTAGGGGGCGTGCAAGAGGCAGCCAATTGATGTTTCTCACATCAACGTTTCTATCTTTCTCTCCCTTCTCTCTCTCTAAAAAAAAAAAAAGAAAAAAAAATCAATAAAATATATTTTAAAAAATGAAATGAAGCAGAGTCTCTATTTTTGAGATGCATAATAGTCCAATGTGGAGACAGATTCGGTTCAGTGGACTCAGTGTAGTGCTGGAGGCACTGAGAGGGCTGTGCAGTTTGGTGGCAGCAGGAATGAGAGGATATATTGGATAAGGCAAGGGTAAACTGCTGTAACGGAGACTCCAGAATCTGAGGTTCAAACGAGATAGGGTATTTTTCTCTCCAGTACAGTCCAGGGAAGGTGGGAGTCTCTGCTGCAGGAACTTATCCAGAGACCCAGGCTAGCTGGGAGACTCTGCATCCTCTAGGGCAGGAATCATCAAACTTTTACTAGAAAGAGACCTATGGTCACTGCTGCAACTGTTCAAATCTGCTCTTGTAGCACAAAAATGCCATAGTTACATGTAAAAAAAAAAGGCAGTGTGTGTGTGTGTGTGTGTTGGGGGGGGGGGGATTCCAGTGAAACTGTTGATCCAGACAAGTGGTGGCAACATTTGTCCCATGGACAGTAGTTTGCTGAACACTGCTGTAGCTCATGATCCTCCTCAGTGGTCAAAGTCAGGTTGTTGTGACTGCAGGTTCTAGAAAGGAAGGGCAAAGAGCAGTAGTCTAGGGCATGGAATTTTCTTTTAACCAAGTGGTGCAGAATAACATAATCATTTCCATTCAGAAATGTAGCTTCTAGCTGAACTGCCATATGGCCAGGAAGAAGAGGTAGATGGCATAGTTGGACAGCCAGACACTTGGCACCAAAGTCCACTGCAGTTTGTACTGGACAAACTATGGAAGTACAGAGCAGTTTGGACGAGCAATTCAGATGTCTATAATCTCATGTTTTTCAAATGGTAAGTCTTGACCCATTATTGAGTCATAAAACCAACCAGTTCAGTGGGTGGTGACCAGTAGCTTTTTTTTATTTGAAAAATATGGAAAGGAGCAGAATAAAGTAGAATAAAAAAAATTAGAGTATAGAATATCAGAGTACCTTGCAAATTATAAGGGTATTATTTTATGAATATTTTTGTCTGTGTAGTTGGTTTTAATATAAAATGTATTTCTTACTTTAGTCATGTCAAAATGTTTGGAAAGAAGTTTCAAAAAGCCTTTTCTAATTTTCTTTCTTTCTGGGTTAATATTTCTTTTTAATCTTCACTGGATGTTCCTAGGACTTGCTTCATTGAATGTTCAAATTCTTGGGGCTACCTCAGGTTTGTTGGAAAGTAAAAGACAGCTTGTCCAGTTAGAAAAAAATGCTTAGAGTTTAGAGAGACGATGGGTGATGTCCAGAGGGGAAATGGGTGGGTTTGTTTTCTGGTCTCTTTTTTTAAAGTAATTTTTATTTTTTGATTACAGTTGACATCAAATATATTCATTTCAGGTGTACCATCGTGTGATTAGACATTTATATAACATACGAAGTGATCACCCCGATAAATGTAGTACCCATTTGATGCCATACATAGTTATTACAATATTATTGTTTATATTTCCTAAGCTGTACTTTACATCGCCATGACTATTCTGTAACTACCCATTTGTACTTAATCCCATCACCCTTTTCATCCATCACCTCCAACCCCCTCTGGCAACTGTCAAAATGTTCTCTGTATCTATGAGTCTGTTTCTGTTCTGCTTGTTCATTTATTTTGGTTTTAGATTTGACATATAAGTGAACTCAGCTGGCATTTGTCTTCTCTGTCTGATTTATCTCACTTAGCACAATACCCTCTAGATCCACCCATGTCGTTGCAGATGGCAAGACTTCATTCCTTTTTGTGGCTGAAACATATCCATTGTATATATGCATCACTTCTTTTCCATTCATTCTTGGCGCACACTTAGGTTGCTTCCATATCTTGGCTATTATAAATAATGCTGCAATGAACATATGGATGTAGTACATGTATTTTTAATTTAGTGTTTTGGGTTTCTTCAGATAAATACCCAGAAATGCACACCAAGACCAGATGCTGCTTGTTTGAGATATTTCAGGAAAGTCAGCAGCATGAACCAAGATACACTGTTTGTATGGAAAAACCACTGGAAAGGGCTTGGGTGGGCCTGAAAGTTGGCTGGGGTGGGGTTTCAGGGAATCACCAGGGAGAGGCGAGCAGTGTGAACCAGGTGGCTGGAGACTGTTTATGGTGCCCACCTGCAGGCTTTGTGAGGGGAGCTCAGAACAGGAACAATGGCCTCTGTCAGCACTTCTGTCTGGGACAAAGCTGCCCCTCTAGCCCCTGCCCTGATGCCAGATAATTCAGTTCCTCTCCATCTGTCTCTGGCAACTTTTGAGCTGCTGCCCCAGTGCCGGAGCTCAGAGAGAGTGAGTTTAAGTAAGTCCATGTGGGGCCTTGAAGAGGAACGCCTGGGACTCCAGAAGCCCCTGTCTCACTCAGCCACAATCCCCACTGGTTTTCACAGTCAAAAGTTATGGGGATTTTTCTTTTTGGCACTGGGACCCTGGGCTGGGGAGCCTGGTGTGGGGCTGAGACCCAACATAGGCTGTGTGAAACCAGAAGGACTCCGTCAAAGCCGAGTGGAGCTTGTAGGATGTGGTCATGGGGAGACTGACTCTTGCAGGAGACAAAAGTGAGGAGAAGCGTGACAAGGCAGGGCTGTGTGCTGAGCCAGGAGGCGGGGATCTGACAATGAGCTGGAAAAGGAAGGCTTCTTGCAGGTGGCAGAACATGATTAGAAGGCGCAGACAAGTTTTCTAGAGGGGTAGCTTCCAGGGCTGAAGCAAGAGCAGGTGGGCGAAAGAACAATACAGCTGGAAGGAACGGAAATGAAAATGTATGCAGAATTCAGATAGTAAGAGGAGAGTATTTCTTTACCTGCAGCTGAAAAAAGAAGCTTGACAGGAAAATCAAGACCATGAAAAATATTTTTGTTGAGTAAGAGGCAATATTCTGCAAATGGACATGTTCTGTTATGGGTGAGAGGTGAGCAACTGACTGATTTCAGGGAGGTCACTCCAACGGTCCTAAACCTGGGTTCAAGCAATGCTGGAGCTGTCTAGCTCTCAAAAATGCTATGCAGATACTGTGAGATTGGCATTGTCTTCTCAATTCCCTTAGATGTCCATTATCCCATTTGACCTTATGCATAATGGAAAAGAGATCACTTTCTAGCATATTGCATCACCTTATTATAAAGGCTGAACAGAGCAATTAAAAAACGAAATGCAGTTTATGATCATCTGGGTATTGTTACCATCTTCATAATCATTAGATTTAGTGCAAGAGATGTATTAGTCAGTGGCGTGAGAAGCAGAAGGCAGAAAGGCCTATCATACACGGGAGCTGATTGTCAGCACCAGACGCGTTTTAGCTTAGCCTCAGAAACACCAGTAAAGTGGAAAAAGAACATGCCCCAAACCACCTCCCTGTAGTTTTAAAAAATAACTCAGTTTTAAAAACATATAAGACCAGTTTTATCTTACTTCTAGTCAATTGTTGAGCCCTTCCCAGCATGTACCATCCATCAGAGAAAGACAGTGCTTGGCAACGTTACACCCTTTCCATAAGAAACGATGGAATATGATAGAATGAGACTTAAAAATTCACAGAGAAATGGAAGAGAGCTGGTGAAAAGGGAGGCAGGTTGTCATTTCATTTCCCTTCAAGTGAGGAAATCAGAGAAATGTGGAACATTTCAGCTAGAAGAAAACTTACTACTCTAAAACAGGTACCTTTACAAAATTCTTGGTTCCTGTTTCCTCCCTTAGGTAGAGTTGTGGTTGTCTTGGGCATCTTTAGATTTCTTACAGAAGATGTTCTTGAACACTTCAGGATCTATCAAAGATCACGGCTCCTGTGACCCGAGAGCAATCCTTACTCAGAGAACCTCATTTTCCCGTATGGAAACCTGTCATTGTGAATAAGAGGATCTAGAACATGCTTCACCCTTAAAGAAGACAGTGGCACTTACCATAGCCATGTCCCTCAAAATGGCTAGCCACCATAGCTTTGGCAACTGGTTTTTAAAAAAATGTTTTTATTGATTTTTTAGAGAGAGAGGAAGGGTGAGAGAGAAACATTGGTCAGCTGCCTCCTGCACGCCCCCTACTGGGAATCGAGCCTGCAACCAGGGCATGTGGCCTGACCAGGAATCGAACTGGGACCTCTCAGTCCATGGGACGACGCTCAATCCACTGAGCCACACTAGCCGGGCTTTGGCACTGTTTTTATCAGGTGGAAACCTTTACAGAAAGAAATGATTTGGTAATTTTCAATCACACTGTAACATCTCTCCACAGCAGGTTTACACTTTTCTTTTTGTGTGTCATCTTCTTGGAAGTGATGTTTTTCTTTCTCTTTTTCATCCCACCTTAAAAATTCAGCAAGAAGTGCGGAGTAGATTCTTCTTTTATTAGAATCAGGAAAGCCAGTTGTTTTCACCCTTTTTTGACTGTGACTACAGTGAGAAATGCATTTTATTTACTTATTGGAGTGACAGTGGTTCACAAAACCATACAGGTTTCAAGTGTACAACTCAAGGAAACAACACTGGCACGCTGCATCTTGTGCCCATCACCCAAAGCAAAGTTTCTTTCCATCTCCATTCTCCCCACTTTGCCCACCTCCACCTACCCCACTCTTCTTTCCTTCTGGCTATCACCATACTGGTGTCTTTGTGTGTTGTGTACACACACACACACACACACACACACGCTTTATTGCTTAATCCCTTCACCTTTTTTTCATTCAGCCAAGAAATGCATTTTATACTGTGACAGTGCATGCATTTTTCTCTATATACATTTATCTATATTCCCAAAGCAAAAGTTTCATCAAACATACAATGTGTGATGTGCACTGACATGGAACATTCTACTTCATTAAAAAAAAAAAATGCTGGTCATGACCCAGCTGGCAGATTGGGAAACAGTGTGAAAAAATGCACCCAGTTTTAGTTGTTTAATAGTCCAGATTTCGACATGTTCTATAGTGTTAAGAGGTTTAACATTGAGGGTTACACCCTTCCTCTTGAAAATCACTAAGAAAGTCTGCATCTGGGTCCAGGCTCCACTGCCATCGAACCCTCTGCCCTGGCCCCCATCATGTTACCCAGGTCCGGTTGATGTCCTCACCTCTTGCACATCCTGAAACTCCTGAGGGCCTCTGGTATGCTTTACGCAATAAACATGTGATTTATAATACTGAAAATAATTTATTTGGCCTCTTTTAGGTCTTGTACAGAGCTCAACAGTCTGAGACCTGGAAGATCGTAGCTCTGATGCTGGCTGCCTGGGTGCTCGCCTTCCTAGTGCATGGGCCAGTGATAATGGCTTCAAAGCTCAGGAAGTCAGACAGAAGCCACTGTGAACCTGAACTCATGCTAAGATGGTATGTCCTTGCCATCACATTATTCTTGGAATTCCTGGTCCCAGTCTTCTCAGTGGCGTATTTCAACATCTATATTTACTGGAGCCTGTGGAAGCGTGGTCATTTCAATAGGTGGCAAAGCCACCCTGGACTCACTTCTGCCTCTGCCAGCAACTCTGGACACCCGTTCAGCGGTGGCCTGTTTTCACAACCATCTCTTGTTGAACCGAAGAAAGTAGTAGCATCCCCTCACGTCAAGAAACTGGGGGGAAAAGGCAGTCTCTTGTCTTCCATAAGGACCCAGAAGAAGAGCAATATAGCTGCTTCCAAAACAAGTTCCCACTCCTTCTCGGATAAGCTAGCTCTTCACCAAAGGGAATATGTTGAACTGCTCAGAGCCAGAAAATTAGCCAAGTCACTGGCCATTCTCTTAGGTGTTTTTCTCATCACCTGGGCCCCTTATTCTCTGTATACATTGGTTCTTTCCATTCGCACCCCAAACCAGCATGTGGAAATAGAATACCATATCATGTTTTGGCTTCAGTGGTGTAATTCCTTGTTCAATCCTTTGTTGTATCCACTGTGTCACAAGCGTTTTCAGAAGGCTTTCTTGAAAATATTTTGTACAAAAAAGCAACCCCTATCACCACACTGACAGTCAGTGTCTTAAAGATAATTTTACTACTTACATAATTTTAGTCTGATTCGGACCTAAATGAATTTTATCCGGCTTTCATCTTGTCCTTTCCACTCTACCGAAAATGTCCATAAAATTGCAATACTGAAAAACTTAAAAAAAAAACAACCCAAAAACGGAAACTAACAGTCAAGGGAAAATTATTCTGTTGAATAATAACAGTGTAATCAGAAACTGACAGTAATATTTTTGTAAAGTCATAGCCACAAAAGCACTGTATTTTTCTTAGTCATCACCTCTTTCTTGTCTTTTAGATGCTGATAAAACATTGCTGGTAAAAGTCAATAGTTTTTCTCTATGTTCAGTGTTTGCTACGGTCTTAAGTAAATTTCCCCTTTCATTTTATAGGGATGAAAACATGCCAAGTTCTAAAACTATTCTCTAAAATACACAACAGGAAAAGGAGCTATCAGGCCTTCTTTACTGGGTGTGCAAGTCTGTGATGATCACTGGGTGGGGGAGCGGGGGTTTTTCCTATTTTTTCCTGATCTCTTCTCCACACTCCCACATCAGCTAAAACCTCTCTGAGAAAATATGAAAGAAAGAGAAAGACTGAGAGATGAAGGCGAAAGGACTATATGATTAAACCTGATGTACCTGGTATAACATTCACAGAATTTGTGGGTGTCAATTATTATTACTAAAATACCTTTCTGTATTTGTCTGCTATCTTTAACTCGTGTGCCTACTGCTTTCAATTGCAGCGCTGAGTGCTCCCTTCATTATGCGGTTAAGAAAGGTTATACCTTCCTGATGAGTCACATTTTATTCTGATGAATAAAATTATTCTGGTGATGTTATCAGTTTTTTTCAGTGTTCTTTGCCTGTCTTAGTAATAACATTTTATTTTGATTCTATAGTTAATCTAATCTCTTCTGGAAGGTTTTATCAGTGTTCTCTCTATAATCTCTGAGTTCTTATATAGTTCAGTCATTTTCATATTTCTCAAAGTTTTTAAACCTTTGATTAATTTCAAACACTAAAATATAAAAATATTTTAAGTACATAAATGTTTAGAAATACATATAAATTTTACATACATTCTTCCTTGCATTAGGAGATACATATTTAGAATTCAATAGTAACTTAAAAATTTTGAGAAATAAACCCTCATAAATGCACAACTTTTTAAAGTTGTTAGTTGTCAGCTGTTGGTTTTAACATTTATAAATTAATAGGTATGAATTTCTTTTTTTTGTTAATCCTCACCTGAAGATATTTTTCCATATATCTTCAGATAGAGTGGAAGGGAGGGAGGGAGGGAAGGACAAAGAGAGAGAGAGAGAAAGAGAGAGGGAGAGAGAGAGAGAAACATTGATGTGAGAGAGACACATAGACTGGTTACCTCCCACATGACCCCAACTGGGGCCAGGGACGAATCACAACTGAGGTATGTGCCCTTGACTGGAATCGAACACACGATCCCTTGGTCTGCAGGCCGATGCTCTAACCGCTGAACCAAACCGGCCATAGCAGTATGAATTACATATGATTTACATGATCACTGGAGACTTGACTGTTCATCAAATGGAGTGTCCATATGAAAACTTTTACCAGTTGAACCTCAGGGAATCATGTCTAAATATTGATATGTATTTTCTAAAATTAGATAAGATAACATATATTGTACTTTACTTGATTAAGATGCCATCAATGTAAAACATACTGTTATTTTATTTACCACTATAAAAGAGAAAATGCTGCAAAGTGTCTCTAAAACAATACTTTAAAAAACTACATTGAGTCTGGCCAGTGTGGCTCAGTGGATTGAGCGTTATCCCATGAACTGAGAGGTCGTGGTTCGATTCCCGTCAAGGCACATGCCCGGGTTGCAGGCTCGATCCCCAGTAGAAGGCACGCAGGAGGCAGCCGATGGATATTTCTCTCTCACATCGATGTTTCCATTGCTCTCTCTCTCTCTAAGAAATCAATAAAAACTTATTTTAAAAAATTACATTGATAGTAAATCTCATTCTGATTTCAAAGTTGCTGAAAAGTGAGTGATGTGTTTCATAGAAATACTGAAATACGTGTAAAATAAATATACAGAATAGTACAGAATAGGGCTAATCCTCTATGAAATTAGAGTTTGAATAAATAAACACTTAAAAAAAATCTCCACCCAAGGATATTTTTTCCACTTTTTTTTTTTTTTAGGGAAACAGTAAGGGGGGCGGGAGAAGAGGGAGGGAGGGGGAAAGAGAGAGAGAGAGAGAGAGAGAGAGAGAGAGACATCAATGTGAGAGAGACACATCAATTGGTTGCCTCCCACAAGCACGCTGACCAGGGCTAGGGACTGAACCTGCAACCCAGGTATGTGCCATGACTGGGAATCGTACCCGTGACCCTTATTCTGCAGGCTGACACTCTAACCACTGAATCACACTGGCCCGGGCAATAAACACTTTTGATAGTATGTTCATGGAGTCATTACACAAATGTTTATGGAGAGTCTATCATGTGATAGCTACCTACTGCAAAGATGTCTGTGAACCTTGCCAACATGACAGACTCTGTGAGGAAGGAATTTGATTTTGGGCTCTGTTAATACAATACTAGGCACACCATAGGGGCTCAGTAGGTAGCTGTTAAAAAAGCATGCATTAGGCATTTTCCTTAAAAATAAAATATAGCCCTTAGCTGGTTTGGCTCAGCAGTTAGAGCATTGGCCCACAGACCAGAGACCTGGGTTCGGTTCTCACTGGGGGCACGTACCTCGGTTGCAGTTTGTCCCCAGCCCTGTTGGGGTTGTGTGGGTGGTAGCCAGTCGATGTGTCTTTCTCACATTGATGCTTCTCTCCCTTCCTCCCTCTCTCCTTCCCTATCTGAAGATAAATGCAAAAATGTCCCCGGGTGAGGATAAAAAAAAAAGTAAAAAAAAAAAAAGTGTAAATCCCAGTTTTTAAATCCAAGTATTTTAAATTTGCACTGGAGGAACTTTAAAATGTTTTTCATTATAACAAAGTAATCTGTGCATATCATTAAAAGAAAAAGACAATAATCCGGCTGGTGTGGCTCAGTAGTTGAGTGTCAACCCATGCACCAAGAGGTCGCTGGTTCGATTCTCAGTCCAGACACATGCCCAGGTTGTGGGCCCAATCCCCAGGGTCGGGGCATGCAGGAGGCAGCCAGTCGATATTCTCTCTCATCAATGTCTCTATCTCTCTCTCCTTCTCACTTCCTCTCTCTCTAAAATCAATAAAGGAAACAAAGAAAATGACAATAATAAAACAATTCCTATACCCAAGAAGCAACCATAATTATTAGTTTGGTATAGCTGTTTCCAGAGGGAAAAAAATGTAATGCCATATTTTAGGAACACGTTTGTATATCCAACCTATTCCCTAAACTTTTCACATCTTCAGGTGAATCCTTTCATAAAATGAAGACAGCTATTTTACAATGAGAAATTGCCATTTCCTTCCCCAAACAGAGCTGGTTCTCAAATACTTATTCAATTTTAATTTTTAAAATACTTAAATTTAAACAGATTTAAAATACTTCAATACATAATATTAAATTTTTAATAAATATTAAAAAAAAATTTAAATACGTATTAACTCATTTAAAATCAAGACCCAACCCCACTGGTGTAATTGGCGGAACATTGCAGGACATTCCTTAGAATGTTGACCTGAAGTGTTGGCTTCAGTTGGCCTGTCTAGAAATAGATTCAAGAAGAGTAGAGACAGATGTTGGGTTTAGGGATATAAATGCCCATTATGACAGACTCTTTAGGATTAAGCTTTTTGTGAGTCATGAGGGCTTTACGTATAAGTGACAAAACAATTATAAGTATTTTTCAGAGGTTACTTTTGTGGATTTTTGGTGACTACTTTTTTGTACTAAGGATCTTGGCATTTGAAGAAACTGTATTTTCACATTACTATTTCAGAAAAATAGAATTCTAGCATGCAAAGTAAACTTTTTGGTCTAATAACTGTTATCAGGGTTGAGTTGAGAAAGCCATGTTAATAATTTCAAATAAAAGGGATTTAATACAGGGAATGGGATAACACAGGATACTGGGAAGCTAAAAGACCAACAAGTGGCTGTTGACATAACCAGACATTAATAACCTAAAAAAGCCCAGCTGCCATCTCCAGGGATAGAGAAAAATATCAGGGAATAAAAAAATCTAGGATCTTGAAGACCCTGGAGAACTGATGCTTGGAGCTCTGATTGATGCATTATGCCCAATAGTTAGGTTTGGGCAACCAAAGGGTTGAGACCAGCTGGTGCTCAGACCCTCATGGGAGGTAAGACAGGACAGACTCAGTTGCTGTTGGTACTTCAGATGGGGCACAGCAAGGCAGAAGCATTACTGGGAAATGATGCTGGAAGGATGCCTAGTCAAGCTAGAAGTGCTAAGTGAGTTTTCTTTTCAATGCCTCCCATCTTCCAATCTCTTGCTAGTGCCTTCCATTAGTGGAACCTAATTGAAAGCCAGTTGTCGAGGGAGTCTGAGAAATATATGCCTACCAGCCCCAGCTTAGAGCAGTGTATAAAAATGTAGGCTTGAAGCTAATAGGCAACAGATCGTTGGCAAATCCCATTCCATATTTAAGCATAGTAGAGTAGAGCTTTGTCTTTAGGGACTTAACATCCACAGTTTTAACTGTATACAGCAGCCTGTTGGTCCATAACATTGTAATTTATAATTTTCTTAAGGCAAACATTCAACTCATGTACCCTTAAGCTGGTATGCTGAGTGATTTGGCGCTAAGCCCAGCATCCTCGTTCTTGACCTCTATTCTTATCACGTGAACACTGCAGTGCTGAGTGTTCAATATGTTTGTGTTGGTGATGGAAGTGAGGCAGGAGTGATGAAGTCCAAGTAGAGAACTCAGCAGGGGGTCAGCCCTATAGTTGGTAGTTTCACTATAATTTCATAACAGAGATTCCAAGCTGGTGGTTTATGTATCTGGTCTATGAGTGATTTTGTTGTTATTATTTAAAAGTTGTGGAATTTAACATTAAATTGAGATTTCTCAGGCTTTCTTGAGAAATCAGAAGATCAAGCAACAGTGGGCTTACATTCCCTTGAGAAAACAATTTGTCTACTG